GTGGGAATTCAGTATTACACCGTGATCAAGATCGCTAAATCACTCCTAACAAATGTCGGATGTTCGTCGTGAAGTTCATCCAACTTCACTTTTTGTTCCGGTGTAAGAACACTCTCATCAAACGGTGGCTCCACATATGATTCATCATCTTCTTCTTGCGGCCAATCATTGTATTCCATGGCATAAAAAAAAAACAAATGAAAGTTAGTAATAAATAAAAATGCTCTAGACTAAAAACTAATCCTAAATCCTTAGGTAACGCAATTGGTCCCCGGCAACGGCGCCAACTTGATTGCTCGAGTAATTACCCGATACACTTAACCGCAAGGTAGTATATACGGGGTCGATCCAAAAGAACCAATGGTACACTAAAGACTTCCGAGACTCGTTCTTAGCTAAAGCGAAGAGTTTGTTTGGTTTTCAGATTTGTAAAATAAAAATGCAAATAAATTAAACGATTTAACTTCAAAATTTAAAGACATTGGGCATTAGGGTATTTCAGAGATCAATAAACAACGGAAACATGAGACAATGAATTCAATAGTTACGAACCGTTCTTGAACATGAACACATTTAGACCAATTCTCTTTCAAGACATTAATCACTAAATTTGACTATTCGATTACTAAACTTTCGCATGCAATTTCCTAGTCAAATTCGCATTACCAAACAAGTTCATTAAGTTCACAATGCATCCTAACGTCAACTTTCGTTGGCTAGAAATACATTGCTCAATCCACATTCTTTCAGGCATTCTATCGAACACTTTTGATGCATAGAAAAACCTAGAATCTACAACAGGGTGATCAATCCTATTCTAGCATTAAGAACATGTGAATCAAAGAACCTAGAGAATGAGAATTCCTAACACAATCAATCCATTAATCCATTGAATCTCCTAATTGGAACCCTAAAACCCAATTGGAGAACTACTCACACATAGAGAAAGAGAAAAGGCAAATAGATATGAAAGAAAACATGATTCAATAAAATAGAAAAGGAATAGGGTTTAGAAATCTTCTCCAAATTGTCAAAGGGATGGATTCCTTTGCCCAAAGTTGTTTACAAACCAAAGAACAAAGTTTAGAACTCAAAAATATCAAAGATAATGTGTAAAGAGTCGAGCTTAGGGTTTTAAAACAATAGGAGACGAGCCGGGTCGGATCTGGAGTGACTCGGGTCAAATCTGGGCCAAAAATACGTCTGGGGAAGGGATCGATCGATCCAAAGGAGGACCGATCGATCCATCCGAGGAAATCTCTTCCTCCATCGATATCTAAACTTGTCTAGATCTTTGGATTTCTGAATATTTTGACACATAAGACGCCCTCCATAGCCTTGATACCAGTTTCATTAATCGACCTTAAGTCATCAGTAACTCCATTGGCAAGGATCTAGACATAGCCCGGTTTCATCAAACCAATCTCCTTGGCTTTAATGAAGAATCTGGATGCAAGAGTCGAGTACATGTGGACAATGAACACTCTTGTGGGGTTTGTCATCATCTTAAGAAGCTCCATGGAGATTACATGATCCGTGGCATTGAGAGCGATAACAGACCTGTATGGTATGCGAACGTTTATCTCTTGTAATGCATCAGTGAGACGAGGCATTATACCTTCTCCAAAGGTGTTGTCAATGTAAACAGGCACGACTTCTCTCCATCCAAACAACTTGATGATAGCTTTTATGGCGTTTACTTGAGAAGAGTCTTCGTACGTAGCACGAAAGAAGTATGGACTACGAAGAGAAGTAAGAAACGGACTTGTTGCAGAGTAGGAAACAATCGGCACCTGGGATTTTTGGCCAATCTCGATCAAGAAATGAGCTTGCATAGATGTCCATGGTCCCAATATCGCTTTCACTTTCTTAATCTTTATCAGTTCAAGAGCTGTGACATTGTCGAAATAAAAAAAATTCAGGTAGAGTATGTGAAGAATTTAATGCGGATCATATTGTCAAATGTATATACGTTTTCTTGTAAATCAACTTTTTGGCATTTATGTACACTAAAAAAAGATAAGTTACCTGCAGCAGCGGCACCAAGGACGTCGTTTCTGGAGTCGCCGATGTTGACAACAAGCCTTGTCTGGAATTGGGGACGAGAAGAGTAGAAATCGGCTAGAGACATGTTGATGCAGAGCATGGCAACATCTGAGTATGAAGTTCCCACATCTGTTACAACACCGACATTGACTTCGGTTATTTCTTTCTGTCCTCTGCTGAATTCAACGCACAAGGAGAAGAAGAGCAAGAAGAAGAAGAAGACCTTCATGTTTCTCATATGGGGATTTTTATTTCTCCTTTAGATTCATTGCTTATTGGTTTGTATGCAAATATATAGCATAGATTTGAATAGCTGCTGAAGTTTTCTCATCTACAAACTTAGACTAAACCCGAGAAAGCAATCAAAAATGATAATGACTAGGGAAATACAATTTCAAAGTTCGCGGCCATTTTCAATCCAAATATTTCTTTCTCAAGTAGGTTTCTTGCTTTGTACGCAACGACTAAGCAATTTAGCATTATATATTGTAAGAAAACAATCTTTTGTATATATGAAACCTTCAACAAATAATATAGAAGTAAAATATAGTCAAACTTTGTATTGAAAGTAACATAAAATAAACTTCATTATCTTAATTATACCAAAATTCAACGAAAGTTGAATAATATATTGATAATCTAAAAATGGCTAAAGAGTCATTGGTAAAACACAAGTACGAGTGTTAAAAAGAACCAAGACTAATAATCTAAAAATGGCTAAATAAGAAAAAATAAGTCAAATGTGACTTTTGATCTCAGAAACAGGAAAAAAAGGGTTGTCTAAGGTAGCAGATATTACTGTTCGACACCAAGCCACTTGGTGAAGTTTAGAAGTTATCGAACTCAGTGTAGTCACTGTCTGATATCATAGTCTGGTATTGATGGGCTCATGAAACAAGACCGGCCCATACAAATTATGGTTTTATGGTTTTGGTTTTATAATTTTAATTTGATTAGGATATTATTGTTTTTATGATTATCTTTACTTTATTTTTGTTGGACTAGATAGACTCAAATCATGTAGTGTTTTCTTATAAATACCGTGAGAACTCAATAAGAAAGGTTATGAGAATTATTTATCGAAAACCGTTTGTATCATTGTCTTTTAGCTCTTGATTGGGACCTATCAAAATTCTATTAATCTAGCCCAGAGAGACCAAAGATGATGCAATTGAGGAATTCATTTTACACAAGATTCAATCATCGAGAGAAATCAAACAAAAAATCGAATGTTATATACCTTTGAGATGGGCTGTCTCTTCCTCTCGAGCTTCTCCCTTTTCGACTTTACTCTCTCATCTTCAGCCAACAAAGACATCCTTCTCGCAGTCTTCGCATACGGGTTAAGCTTCAACATCACATTCAAATTCTTAAGAGGATTCTTCTTCAACACAGCTCTCTTCACATCCTTCTCAATCTGTCTAACCACACTCTGAACCTCATCCGAATAAATAATCCTAGACAAATCAGCATTCACCATCTTTGCCCTAGGTAAAACATAACCTTTCTTAAGAGAAATTTAATCATTGACGGTTCGTCGGTTCGAGTGACACTTGGGACGAAACTAATATTATATGTTGTGGTTTCGGGAGTGAGGGGATTACGGACTTTGGCCCAAAACCTCCTAGTATTAAAAAAAAAAAAAACATAACCTTTCTTCATCTCCGACGCCTTCTCAAACGAACCATAAACCGATTCCAACTTCTCGAAAGCCGATTTAGTCCACACAACAAATCTACCTAAATGACCACCAGGAGCTAGCTTAAGTAAACTAAATTTCTCTACATGACACAAATCAATCCCCGGAATGTTCCTAAACGCCTTAACCAACTTAGCTCCTTCATTTCCATACACAATCAACGGACCTTTTGGAGAAACATACCTACGATTCCTCATTTTACCTAGACAAGATCTAATCCCAATACTATCTTTAGCCTTCTCTGCATCAGCATAAGCACAATACTTCGATTCCTCATTTTACCTTTTTTTTTTTTCTAAGTAAAAGAGGAAAACACAATGATTTTAGTAGACGCTAGACTCAAACCTAACCTTGATTTATGTGACGAGACATCTACTCACTCACTCAAACAAGCCTAACCTTGATCACATGTGCTTGGTTTCGTAAATTTGCATTTGAATGCATGAAAATATATATAAAAGGATGAAAAACTTAAGCGACTAAATCCGTTTTACTTTGATTGAACTCTACTAGTCGTTACTCGTTAGCATATGTGAGAAACCCTAGCCTTACGTTTACCGTCTTGCATTACACGTAATAAAATCAACCTCTATGGTAACATGTGACAGTCTCTTTTATAAGGATCATCTATTTTGAAAATCGTTAATTACACAATAAGTACAATAGTTTGATTTAATAAAAACAGACGCATTTTCAATGTTTTGTCAAATTAAAGACATATAAAATGCAAATCTATGAGATATTCCTAACTCTTAACTCAACACCGTTTGTTGCTCTATTGCTGTTCTCAGGCATCTCTCGAGAACACAAACATTTATCTATGTCGTTGATGTACGAGTCGGGGTCTCGTTTTAGAAACTCTTTCCACAAATCTTTCCCTTTTGTCTTCCATAGGAAACAGAATGTGAATTTTCCGAGTGCTAGAACGCACACAACAAACACAACAAGAAACAGAAACCAGAAACTGCGTACGCCGAGCTGTATAGAGGTAACAGATGGATTTGAATCTGGATTGGTAACTGGATCAGGACAACTTTGTTCTTTCTTCTTGAACCATGCGTTCTCGAGCTCCATTGCCTTTGGAGACTCTGCTACTTTTAAGATGGCCCTTGAAACATCGGCCACCAGAGGTGATCCGATTGGAAAAACAAAGCCGAATCCATCAACATTGAAGGGTTCTTCAACCATTTTATAAGTGTTGCAATATTGTCCAAGAAAGAGTCTCAAGTAAGGTCCCAAGAAAGCTGCAGAGATACCACCCTTTTTTGATCCTTTTTTCAGAAGCTCGGCGCATTCTTCTGCGGTATCAAAGGGCACAAGGCTAGATTGTGGGAAACCTGTTTCATTAAGCTTTCCAAGGATGAAGGATGTTCTCTGATAACCGATTGTTTCTCCTTTATGAAGCAAGCTACTCATGCTGGTTATGGTTGGATGTAGTTGCTGTGATGTCAAAAGCGACGCCAAACTGGCTGTGTAACTCTGAGTTAACACAAGAACGAGGAAGTACCATGTGACAACCAGGGCCCTCGCCCAGAAGCTAAACACTCTCTCTCCTAGGACAGAAATTCGAGGATAAGAATCAAACATGGTAATATATAGAAACATAGATAAGATGACAATGTAAGGGGTGGAGATTAAATGTACTTGGAGCAAAAACCATGGTAGAGAAGGCAAACCAGAAGATGGTACTAGCTTGGTAATTAGCCGGTCCACGGAAGTCCGGATTAACCCTATGTTCAAGAGTCCAAACAGAGATTGAAACAAGGAAGAAAAAGACTAAGGATGTCAACCATAGTTCGATCGACAAAGGTTTCAAGAAGCTGAATTCGTCTCTTTTCACTTCGTCTCTCATTGGGACGATCATTCCAACACCTGATTTAATGAATGGGAGAGTGAAGTCAACGTAAGAGGACCTGTTCGCCAATATTGTTGTATCTCCCACGACCCCATCATACCTCTGAGAAGGAAAAGAAATAAAAGTAATTCACTAAGATAGTTTTGCAAATGCTATTTTAGAGGGATGATTAGTAAGTGATCATACTCACCCCGAGGTACACTTGCTGGACCAAGTCATTGTGATTACCGGCTGGTTTACCGTCAGGTGTTTCAAAAGGAATGAACTCATAAGAGACGTCATAAGGCATTGCTTGAATCACAGCCTCAAAAAAATCTATGCAGAAACCTGTGACTACAGTTGAATTGGTGATAGGATCCCTTGTGACCTTCACGAGATCAGTGAAACCAAGTCTCTTGGGAACTCCAATGCGCAACTTCTTCCCATTAGTCGGGATCTCCCATCCTTTGGGAACAGAATTAGCCTCTCCAGGCCATATTATAAGCTTAAGATGATCTTGCCAAGTGGATAAAGTACCTATGCTTCGTGGTTCTTGGTCAAGTTTCTTCACAAGACCATTTCCCTCTGTCCAGAATCCTATTGATCTTTCTCCGGCCCCGACCATATTGACAATTTCAAACACCGATGGTTGCAGTTGCCCGCTGACAAAACGGAAGTCTCCTGCAAGTCCTCTGAATTGAACTTTTGAGAGCGTCTCGAGAAGCTTTGGACCGAATTGAGATAAACCAAGAGCATCAAGTTCGGAAACGTTTCTCCCTGTATCCACATTACTGAAAGTCATGTTATTTATTCCAGCTTCTTCAATGGCCATGGCCAATGCAGTGGTAGCATCATAAGCCCACAATCCATAGACATTCAGCTCCATCTGTGGGAATCTCCTCTTCCACCGTGATCTAAACATGTCTAGATCTTTGGATTTTTGAATATAAGTTTTAATACCCAATACCCCCTCCATAGCCTCAATACCCGTCTCATTTATCGACCTTAAGCCATCGATAACTCCATTGGTAAGGATCCAGACATATCCTGGTTTCATCAAACCAATCTCCTTTGCTTTAATGAAGAATCTTGAGGCTAGAGAAGAGGACATGTGGATAATGAACACTCTTGTGGGCATGTTCATCATCTTAAGAAGTTCTACGGAGATTTCTTGATCCGTGGCATTGGGAGCGATAACGGATCTATGAGGTATCCGAACATTAATATCTTGTAATGCATCGGTGAGACGAGGCATTATACCTTCTCCGAAGGTATTGTCGATGTAAACTGGCACAACTTCTCTCCACCCGAACAATTTGATGATAGATTTTATGGCCTGCACTTGAGAAGAGTCTTCGTACGTAGCACGCAAGAAGTATCGGCTACGAAGGGAAGTAAGAAATGGGCTTGTTGCAGAATAGGAAACAACAGGAACCCGAGATTTTTGGCCAATCTCGATCAAGAAATGAGCTTGCATAGATGTCCATGGGCCCAAAATCGCTTTCACTTGCTTGTTCTTTATCAACTCAATAGCTATGACAGTGTCAAAACCAAGAAAATTCGGGTTGAGTATGTCAAACGTGAACATAGTACATAAATATAGTAAGAGTAACATATGTATCGAAAGAAAGCGAGAGGAGAAGAGAAGGTACCTGCAGTTGCGGCACCAACAACGTCATTTTTGGAGTCACCAACGTTGACGACAAGCCTTGTCTGAAACTGGGGACGAGAAGAGTAGAAATCAGTAAGAGACATGTTGATACAGAGCATGGAAACCTCCGAGTGTGAAGTACCGACATCTGTTACAACACCGACATTGACTTGGGTTTTGCCGTTGTTCTGTCCTCTGCCGATTTCCAAGCGGAAGGAGAAGAAGAGCAAGAAGCAAAAGAAAAGCTTCGCATTTCTCATTTGGGAATTTTTCTTTTCTTCTTTTAGGTGATAATTGATAGATGCTGCTTACTGGTTTTGTATGCACACATATTACATATATAGCAAAATTTCGACTAGTTGCTTAATTTTTTAATATCTCATCCTAGTAAAAGGAAACATCATCATAAAGATAAGAAGCCAATACATTTCAAAGTTCGCGGCAATTTCTAAAACAAATATATCTGTTCAAGGGGTTTCGTGTTTTGTAGGAGATGATACTTAGCATCACATATTGTAAGAAGATAATGTTATTGTTGTAATTATCACAATCTCTCTATCTTTCACACTTTCTTACTCGTTTGTGTTCACTTGTTCTAGAGAGAAAACAAGAACACATTTTACTTTAATTGTCTACATTGATATTTCGGATCACAAGGATACTCTTACACAACACACATAACACATACATATAGTGGTTTATCTCCACTTGCTACTCTAGACACATGAACCTTAATCATGACTCTTACACAAGCCATACTCCTAAACACTAGGCTAACTATTGACCTTACTTCTAGATAGAAGTCATACAAGCAACGTTTAACAACTCTCGTAGACTCTTACCACTCCTACTAACAACCATTTAGACAAAACACTCTTCACTAGTTTGGGCCTTTTCACTTGTAGGCCCATCACACCAAACAGAAAAACACCAAGCCCAACTTCCTTGTTGACTTGTCTTCTGTCGTTGACTCTCTTTGTCGACTTCTTCTTCTTCTCTTTGCTCTGCTAAAGCTTTCTCTTTGTTGCAGGTTTAATCAAGGACTCAATTCCCAACAGTTATGTATACATTTGAAGAAAAATTAAAACATAATATATAGTACTAGTTGATTGAAAGTAATATACTTTATTATCTTTATACAATTTACTTGGAATTTTCTTGTTGCAAGAATAGATTACTTGTGTTGCAAAAATATGACCTTTCATTTCTATGAAAGTCAGCGAATGAATTTCAGTGGTAGAGTAATGTTGGAAGTGATCTAAGACTGGACAATTAATTGATTTAAAATGAAAATAATGTTTGGTAAAACGCCGACTGGTAAAGCAACAAGTCTTGTGACTTTGATCTCAAGAAACAAAATAAATATAAATAAAAAAAATTGTCTAAGGGTTGCAGATTTTACTGCGGTTAGCCACTTTGTGAAGTTATCAAACTCAGTGTAGTCGATCACTGATCTGATACCATGTTTTTCCTGCTGATGTGATCTTCAATGCCTCTTCCTGCAATACACAATGAGATTAAGAAGATGATAAATAATACATCTTCATCTAAAACATGATTATCTATAATGCCATACATTATGAGTTGACCAAAAAAAATTGAGAAGAAAACAGTAAGATGATACACTAAATTTACGTGTATATTTAATTAGGTGAGACAAAAGAATATATTTATCCTAAAATTTCAAAAAAGGGACAGTTTTTGACATTTGTCCCACCAATTGACAAAGTGGAGAAAGGGTTTCACGGTTTGACATTTAGCCAGATTTGTGACGAAAATGCCCCTCAACTAGAGACGTTACTGTGCTGGTTCGGTTTCTCTGATTTTGTTTTATTTGGTTTGTTAATATTTTTGAATTTAAATTTAAAAAAAAAAAGAAGAAGAACGGGGAAAAAGAAGAAGAACGGCGAAGAGAAAGAGGACGAGAAATCAGAGTACAAACCGTTTCCATTCTGAAAATCTAATATCTCATTTTGATTCTTTTACTTGGAAACGACCAAAAGGGGAAAAATTCCGGCGAATTCCGTTTCCATTCATCTTTAAATCTTTCATTATCTTTCCGTTTTGCCGCTACGACCAAAAGCAAAGAAATTTCCGACGAGTAAGATAGCGGAGTACAGATGACGGCGAAGAAAATGAATCTATTGAAGAAGAAGACTCGGCGCCGCGCGAAGGTGGCGAAAAGTTCAGAGAAGGGTGAAGCGAATAGTTCACCGGAGAAGGGAATCGAGATTCCGAGTCCCCCGCCGGAGCCCGAGAGCACAAATCAGGGTAAGTATCTGTAAACACGGAAATCGAATTTAATTGGGGATGGGGATTCAGGAATCCTAAATATGGGGATACTGATTTCGAATCGAGGATTTAATTTCTGGGTTTTCAAACTAAATCGATTTTTGCGCCAAAATAGAAAATTGAGAAGATTTATGTTCTAATCGGTGTACGTACCCGAAATTGGAGTTATAAATTTTTCTACTTTTAAGTGATTTTGATAAAAATGCGTATATGGCCTACTAGGGTTTATTCGTTATAGTGTTCGTATGTTAAATTAGTTATGGATATTAGAAACTGACATATTTCTATTACACATAACTTGCAGGAAGCATGGATCCGATTGAAGAAGGTAATATTGGTGAAGGATGTGAAGAGTTACCGCCGAGGCTTTTTGCTCTGGATAAGTACCCTACAGAAACAAAGATCAATGCGTATTCCAAACCGGAGTACCTTGCTGATATTGCAACAGCCCTTAAAGGAACTGAAGAAATGGCTTTTCTCCTATCTTCTCCTTTTGGGGAGCTCTTTAATATCCCTCCTAACATGGTATCATTTTCTGGGAAGCTAGTTCTTGGCTTGATTTGCCGTCAGTTAGTGACCAAAAAACGTTATGAGATGTGGATGGTTTTTGGTGGTCATCCACTGCGGTTTGGATTAAGAGAATTTTATCGGATAACCGGTTTGGAGTGTGGGAAGTACCTGAAAAAAAAAGCTGTGGAGAAAGTGCTAACGGTGAAAAAGGGATGTACTTCAGTGTGGAAGACTCTATTTGGTGCTAAGTCTCCAACTATTGATGATTTGGTCGTGAGCTTGAAGACAGAGAAAACAATGCCAGGATGGAAGAGACTAGCATTAGCGCTGATAATCATTGTTGATGGTGTTCTAATCTGTCAGAAGCAGCGAGTCCGACCCGTTTCAAAGACAGTTGAGATGACGAAAGACCTTGATTTCTTCTGCAAATACCCATGGGGAAGGCTTGCTTTCAACCGTACACTGGACATGATAGCCAGATTCAAATCCGCTAAAAAGATAGAAGATGTGATCATTGGTTGCAAGCAGCAGTCTTATATGGTCTATGGCTTCCCACTAGCGCTGCAGCTTTTTGCCTTCCAAACTATCCCATCTCTTCGTAAGCTAGTTCCTTCTTCCACAAATGTAACTTATTCACTCAGAGGTCAATCAAGAATCTGGCCAAAATGCATCCAATCCGGACTTCCAGTATCTTGGAGTGCGAAGCTGCAGATCAGGTGTGTACGCTTTCTAATATACGTACATCGAATGATAAAATAATACGTACATTCACTAAGACGTTAAAAACAAAATCTTATAGGTGGATGCCACCTATATTGTGGATCCAGAGGATACTGATTGTCCTGAATCCTTAGTATGGAATAAGGAAGTTGAGGATCCTAGAGTTGATTACATTTTGAGGAAGCTGATAAATGGGCACAAGTGGTCCGAAAACACATGGGTTGGAGGTCATGATGAATGTCCAAAGCAGCTGCGACCAGAAGAGAAAGGTAAGCATAACTACAAACGATTTTCTCATTTATGAAAATACTCCTCTAATATAAAAACATAAATAAACTCAGTTGGTGCAGTCCGGAAGAGGCAACTACGGCAAAGAGCTCCGGTTGCTAATAAAAAACAGAAAATTGATGTTGAAGCTGAAGAGAATGACAACGCTGGGGAAAGTTTAGAAGATGAGAGGTTTGATAAGTATGTTGTTGAACTGAGGCGGTATATGAGGAGGCAAGAAACACAAAGGAACAAACTACATATGGAATTAAAAGAGTTCATCCGTGAGGAGATTCGTGCTGCTCTAAATCCAAAGGGCGAAACACAGGTACAACCTGAACCTTCCAAGGTATCAAAGAGCCCTATTAAAAAGGTGGAGAAGCCAATGGTAAAGAAATCCAGAAATATTCAAATTGGAACAAGAAGATCTCCTCGGCTGAAGAATATGAATACTTCAGAATACAATGTTGATGATGTACCTCCACCTTCTGAGAAGGTATGTCATGTACGTACATTATGTTTGCGAAGATAATGTACGTACATACATTATGTTTGCGATGATAATGTTATTTATGTTACAGGATGAAGAGAAAACTGCCCCTGAATCTGCTAGAAAAGAAGCAGATATGTCTGACAATGAAAGTGCTGGACTTTATTATGGTGGACCTTCTGACGAGGTATGTCGTGTACTAGAAATAGTCACAGAGTGTAGTACTGTACGTACATAAACTATAAATATGTTTATTTTCTTTATTTCAGGACGAAGTCATATGTGATGGTGGTGAATATGACAAAGGACCGATAGATTCAGCTACCAAACAACAAGATAAGTCTGAGATGGCAGACATTTCTGAAGATGATAAGGACGTGTTGCCTGACCAGGAAACCAACACTGGAGATGATAAGGACGTGTTGCCTGATGAGGAACACAAAACTGGAGATGATGAGAACGTCTTGCCTGAGGATGAAACCAAAACTGGAGATGATCAGGACATGTTGCATCAGGAGGAAAGCAACGTTGGAGATGATGAAGAATTGTTTAATGCTCCTAGCTCCCCAAAACGTGGAGCTGACGAATTGGAGGTATGATCAAGTCAAAATTAAACTTTGAGTGGCAGATAATAATGACCTATCCCTTAACTAATGAGTAATGCACCAATTGTAGGCTTCTCCGGCTGATGAACCTACAATTGCTGGTCAGAGGAATGCTGGAGGGGCTATTGGCGTTGATGGCAACCTTTGTTCTACGCCTTCACCGTCTTCTGTAATCGTATACACTATAAGTTACTTATATGTTAGTACAATAATTGCGTTCCTCATTAGTGTAACAGAGTAACAAAGTAAAAAATATGTATTCATCAGGTACTAAAAGAGTTGGGAACCTCTGTTGATGTAACTGCTGGTACCAATGCCATCGAGGTAACTGTGTTTATTAAATTAACTTATAATTTCTATACACATGATGTACGTACATAGGCGTTATTGCGTACATATAACTGATGGTTGTGTACGTTATTTCGATAAGGTTGAACCAATGGTGAAAGCAGATATCATTTTGGGAGGAGATAACAACACTATCGTTGATGAGGCTAAAACAACCGCATCTGCTCCTCAAAATCTTGTAAGTCCATATATGTTATTTACAAATCATGCAATGATTTCAATATAAGCTTTCTATTTGTTTGATTTAGTAACTCAATCTATTTTTCAGGAGGAAACAAAAAATGATTTTGATGTGGGAGTAAGTGAGTCTCAAAAACCTGAGGATGTTGTCCCCGTAAAAGAGAAGAAACCTGTTAAACGAAGAGTTACTTTTGAGGATAAAGAGGATATAACCGCCTCTACCACGGAAAATCAAGTAAGTTATAGAGGCTGTTGTTAATAAATTATAAACATATTCCTTTAAGGTTTTAAATATGAATGTAAAATAATTTGACATTTTTTTGGTGCAGGAGGAACCCAAGAAGGATGCAGGTGTGGAAGGAAGTGATGGTCAAATTCCTGATGATTCCAAGGATGTCGAGATATTAATTGAGACGAAAGAATCATCATCAAACTCTGCGTTTTTGGTCAAGGCCGGAAATAAACCATACAACCCATTAGAGAAGGTGAACGATGCAAAATTCCAGCTTTTAACTAATATCATCAATGGACCAGATGTGTAAGAATCTCTAACTTTATTAAATATCATATACTATTTCTTTTCACTTTAAATGCAAATCATGTATTTAACTATATTTTGTTTGCTCCGACGTTCAGGGTCCACACAGTTTTTGGATTACGAAAACTAGAGAACCGGTTTTTCGCCACCCTTGCAGAACCTGGTGAATGGGTTCAATCTAATGTACGTATTGTTGGTATACGTCCACATTTGTTGATATACGTACACATGAATTGATATATGTACACGTTATATGCTCATTATACGGATATTATATTTTATACGTACACAACATCATATGCGTGTTTACATTTTCAGCACTTGGAAATGATCGCCCTCATGATGTGGCACAAGAATGGAGAACATATGAGGAAAACTCGGGCAATTGTTTTGGATTCATTACTCACGTACGATCTCTCACGGCGTGCAAATGAATTCAGTTGGTGTAAAAAAAGGAGAGTTTCAAATGGGGTGAACTGCTCTACGAAATTGCAAATGGTGAACGCATTAACCGTCAACCTATGCTCAAGTGGCTAAAGGACGTCGACGTCCTTTACGTCCCTTTGAACTGGTCACAAGAGCATTGGGTTGGTATCAGCATCGACCTCAAGATGCGGCATGTCACTATCTATGACCCCCTCGTAAGTAAAACCCGGGAAATTGTTGTGAAGACTCGGATGCAGCCCATCCTGGCTATGATGCCTTATCTAGTAAAAGCGGTATGCAAGGACTATGTAGGTGAGAAGTACCCTCTCCACCCTTTCACATACTTTCGGGTGGACTGCATTTCTCAGAACCCTCGTACCGGAGACTGCGGTCCGTTCTCGATGAAGTTTATGGAGCTACTGATGCTTGGACGCCCAATGGAAGAGTTGCAGACCATTGAAGAGGCTGATATGGACAACTATCGTAAGGGGTACGCTGTGGACATTTTCGAGCATGGTGTAAGGTCTCTGACCTAATGGCCGTGTATCTGGTGTTATTAATATCGTTTACAACTTCTGTTTTATCTAGGGTTTTGGGTTTTTTGAACAACTTTTGCCTTGACGTGTGGGCTATGTTATGTTTCAAGCACTCTAAACTTCTGCCTTGCGGTGTAGGCTATTTTATGTTTATAGCACTCTAAACTTATTTTATGTATTTTGAACGAATCTCATGTTTTAATCTAAAGATCCAAACATAATATCTAAAATTTCAGACGTACCTACATATGTATGAAAATGAATTTCTGTTTACGTACAGACTAAACATATATGGCTACCACAAATGTATATAGTATTGGAGTAAAAATAGTATTCAAAGTAGATAAGGTTACATATAGTCAATTGATTTGACATTGCTGACGTATTGGAACTACACTTATTGCTAATCTCATTGAATACAACTATTAACTTCCCAACTAAAACTTTCACCTCGCCTATTTAAGTGGATAAGATTGATGGGGAGTTCCACACCTCAATCCAAAACATGTCATATCCAAATCTACCTGACGATGTCCTAGCCAAGATTGCGAAGATCATGGCTCACAAATGTTGGTGGTACCTACAGCCTCTCTTAAGATCAGGCCCTCGTGGAAGGGACATTGTATACCGGCCCGATGTACTCCAAGATGCAAATATTTACAGTTTGTGCAGTGATTCCGATGACTTCCATGCAGCTGGTCATGATCCAAATGACATCCACACCGAAGGTCGCTATAGACCTTTCTTCAAAAGATGCGTAGATGCTGGAAATCCAATAGCTATCTATCATGAAGGACTTCGTCTTCTAACACATGAATCTGACATAAAGGGAGCTATAGTTCTATTACATCGCAATGTGCCTAATCACGCTGATGCAACACTTGCGTGTGCGATCCTCTCCATATGTGACGGTAACGCGTACATGGGCGCTGAGTATCTTCTAATGTTTGAGAGAAACCATTACTCGTTGCAGTCAGAAGAAACTCGAGACATGTGTGAGGAGTTGCTAGATGAGATTAAAAAATATGGCCTTACATACAACAACACTTATGGTGCAACATTTTCTTACCCTGATTTTCGTGGATTTAACACTCCACCTTGCGTGATGATGTGTTACATCAGGTCTGGTCCCTTTAAAAATGTGTGTAACGTTTGCTATTTATGGTGGTGTGCTAGAAGAATTAGCCAACTCCTCTAAGTTTATATTTGATGTTTCATGTTATTATCTATATGCTTGTGTGCTTAAAGTTTCATAGCAATATAGTACTTGTTGTTATAAATGTTAATGATTTTACACTCTTTCACAAATATCTAAAATAGCTGAAAAGGGTATTAATTTCATTGTATACTACATATGGAATGTATGAGGATTAAAGATTTCGTCAGATAAAAGACAAAAAATGTCATATTCAATACTTCTTGTCAGGGTTTAGCTTTAAATGTACACTCTTAGAAGGTAGATTATCTGTAGCAAATTTATCAATTAATAATCTACCCTTATTGATTTGACCCCTTTCGTGGATAGTTATTAAATACATTTTGTCTGACTTATATAATGAACATATTTAATATTTCTGAATGCTTCTAACAAGTAGTTCCTAATATAGACGTACACGGTGGAGCTATAAATGCACACTGTTAGAAGGAGATAGACTCAATCAATGAAGCACTAAATACGTACCTATACTTTCGTCCTAATTTCAAAAAATGTATCGTTAACCAGAGCTTATGTTACATCACATTGAAGTAGTTCAACTTGTTGCCTTCACATACTTTGTTATAACCCTATAAATAACTACACCCTGAAGTCTCTTTACACACAAATCGTTCAAACTCAAAACCGATATAATATTTAAAAAAAATGCCTCTCCCAACTCCTCCTCCGACCGAGATGTATATTGCGGTCCTGCTCCCAAACCCTGTCAGTATACTAGTAAACTACCTTCCTGTATCTCAGACTCCAGTCGACACCCTTAGGAACATGGTGTATGCCGTTGACATCAACTCCATCTGTATGGACGAGTTTATGACTTGGCCGCATTTCATTCAGCCTGATTCTCCTTTCCGACCGTATTTCGACATCTTGTTGGAGAGGGGATCCTTGTGTGCGCAATACCTTGAAGGAGTAAGGCTTTGTACCAACTTCCTGACCGTCACTCATGGTATAACGTTGCTCACTTCGGTCTCCCCATCCGACCCATATGCGTGCTTCGCACATGCCTTGTTCTTAACAACGATGGGCAGCTACACTGAGTTCATCCCGGTAAATGCAATGTTCTGGGAAATGATACAAAATTTCGAGGCTGCAACCGCCGTGGGAGAGTTGGTGATGTATCACATCAGTCAACTTCATCATCAAGGCCCTCCGCTGTGGCAAAGATCGTGGAGGTTTGTCATCAGTCCGCCATGTATCGGACGCTGCACATACGGACATTGGTGCCGCAATTGTTTTTTCTATTGGTACGCTCGAGAACTATGCATTTTCTACTAGATGTGCGATGGCTATGAAGGAAGAAGCATGCAATTTTCCCACTTATGACTATGCTTCCGCTATCACCTTTACTTTATTTCTTATGAATCTCTACCGTAATAGTCTGTTTATTTCTATGCTTTGTATTTCCCTTTCCAGGAGTCTTGCTATGAATGAATGAAGTTAACCCTAGGTGTCTGTTTATTTCTATGCTTTGTATTTTCTTTTTGAAGGACTCTTGTTATGAATGAATGAAATCTACTTTTATGAATTAAACATATATGAATAATTACACGTTTTGTAGGTGTACGTAATATGTATACGTACATAGTAGATGGAAACTCCGAAAATGTTATAATATGTACGTACAATGCTGGAATTAGTCATTATGAACGTATATTTGTCAAGAATTTTATATTAATGGAACAAAAATTAAAAATAAATTAGGCCATATATTTTTAAGTTTGGGGAGAATAACAAACTAGAAAACAACAATATTTGTTTGTTTTTATAGCAACAAGAGATTATAGAAATAAAAACTGTAGTTGTTTTTAGAATACGATAAAAAACAAAGCAAAAAGCACGCCTGCAGACTAATAAACCACCGTTTTGATCTCTTGGACTTTCGGGATGTCCGGATCAGCAAACAACTTTGATACAGGGCCATGACTGACAAGCTTCGGGTTATTTCTCCCGGTTACCCTCCAGCAAACGAGTGCTACCACAATATTGCGACGAATATAATTGCGGAAGTAACTTTGGAAGTCCAAAGCTTGTTGATTGTGGGCTTCACATTCCAAAACTTCGTTGCTAAAGTAGAGGGAAAGAGAAACATGATCAGCAAATTAAAGTAGTTTTATTTGCAAAGGATAGAGATACGTACTATCTATCTTTGATCTTGAAAGGAAGCTTCACACCGTAAAAGTCTTCGGTGATTCCTCCAACCTCCAAAAGCGCACCAACTGCATCTGGGGTATAAACCAAGATATTAGGTAACTATTGAAAAAAAATTTAAAAAAAAATTTAAAAATACACAAGTCTAAGGTAAAACTACTCACCGACCAACACATTTTTATCAACCGTCTTCTGAATAATGTAGTCGAATTGAGTGAAATCATAAAAATTGAATGCGTCCCTTCGCAATGCGTTAGTAACAACGGTCCGATCCAAAAACCAGATCCCGTACTCGTGCGCTGTTGTTTTCACTGGGTCAGCATTTTTACGTACAGAGAAAGATGTGATAATTTTCCACTCATTTTCTTTGAGTCGATCCAAGTAAAAAGGAGCAA